TATTGGGAGACATAATAAAATCAATAGTTTTATTGTTTAATTTATTTCTTTTCCAGTTGTTTTTTGGCAGGGGCGGCAGTCCTGTGAAGTGAAAAATAAAAAATGTGTGGCCAAAATATAAATGAGCCTGATGGATTATTGAATATACTGATCTTATAAGTTGAATATTGTACATACATAAATAAGAACTTCACAATAAAAGTTATTCATACATTTAAAAAATATATGGCATAACATAAAATGGAGGCACTTGTGGTCTTAGGCACTGTATTCAGAATTGCATCCCTTAACTGTGCCAGGATCCACTGGTTGTGGGTTTGAATCCAAGATTATGATACTTTGTCTGTTGGCATCCACTAGTGCTCTTGCAATTGAGTACTTCTCATACCATGTCCCACTTTCCTCCCACATTAAGCTGGCACTTAATGTCAAATACTTTTCAAAGTACTGTTTAGTGACAGACCATATGCAAAATGATTTCATTTCCTTGTACCTTTGAGTGATTTAACTAATAAAATAATGGCAATAAAATGGGTCCCCTTGCCCATCTTTGAGTAAATCGTTAAGAAATAAAATATTTTGAAAATTATACAAAATATATATATATATTTTTTATAATATTCTGCTTTATGGTAACTGAATTTTAACTGCCTCATATAAAAAGATTAATTGATGTTCATTTACTAATCAATATGAATTTAACATATATTTTAAGAACAATAATCTTAAATTTGGTATTTAGTCATTTTTTCTTTGCTTTCAAATAAGAATAATTTGTGTCATTTCAAAGATCTGTTTACCCCCACTGTCCTGGACTTGTGTACAGACAGGCAGCTAGATGTGTAAGACAAGAGTAGTGTGTAAGACACAGTAGCATGGAGGAGAGTGTAGTGGTGGTGTATGTCACTCCCACCATGCCCATGTTTCCGTGTGAGTTGTTGCCATCATACCATGGCATTGCAGCCAGCAGGGGAAGCCAAACAGAAATGCTGGACAGATTAAGTCAAAAGCCTCATACATCATGGAACACTGCATTTCCCATCAGAACACAATTAGCTATGCGGAGGCCTGTTCCGGGGTCATCATTGCTATGCTGTTTGGGATGTTAACATCCGTCTGCTAGATCTTGGATGAAAATTTGGAAAGGAGTTTGTCTTTCTGGGAGTAATATGCCTGTGGTGAACAGCTGAAAAAAGGACTGAAGTAGCAACTACTGGTGTCCACTTTCACTCACTCACTCTGTTAGTGATGATGCATCATGGGACACCCAGGTGGTGGTGAAAGACGGGTTCATTCAGTAATGGAGGCCTAGTCGCCTGAGTTGACATACACTGGTTTATCAATATCCAGTTACAATACTAATTTAGGGGGGTTTCTTTTGTCAACAATTAATTCCTGGAGCCATCAATTCGTGTTTTATCCTCGGTTATGAATTCTATCACGTTCTTAGAATTACTAATTACAACAGTCAGTGCCTGATTTACCTTTTTATTTTTGTTCTAATATCATTTTTTGTCATTCAGTAAGCTAGCTAATACAAAATTATAAGATATGAATATCTTGAAAGATGAATATCTCAAGATTGGTTCACTGACATTTTTCCTTCATGGATGCTGAAAGAATTTCTTTTGCAAACAGTCATAGTTTCAAATTAGTCCATAATTTAGGACATAGGCAGATTGTTTTCAATTTATTTTAGTAATTTATAATGTGAAGTAGATTTTCCAATCAAAACTTGATCAAAGACAGTAAAAGAGTTCTGAAAATGTCCTCAGGCAAATAGATGAACAATTCTTGAAGCTGAAATGAAACTGTTGTACATATTATTATATATTTAATACAAAGATTGTCAACAACACACATGCTGTGAATCTCATGCCAGAAACTGTCTATCTGGTCACTCACTAACCTGTATTGGTGAATCTCATGCCAGAAACTGTCTATCTGGTCACTCACTAACCTGTATTGGTGAATCTCATGCCAGAAACTGTCTATCTGGTCACTCACTAACCTGTATTGGTGAATCTCATGCCAGAAACTGTCTATCTGGTCACTCACTAACCTGTATTGGTGAATCTCATGCCAGAAACTGTCTATCTGGTCACTCACTAACCTGTATTGGTGAATCTCATGCCAGAAACTGTCTATCTGGTCACTCACTAACCTGTATTGGTGAATCTCATGCCAGAAACTGTCTATCTGGTCACTCACTAACCTGTATTGGTGAATCTCATGCCAGAAACTGTCTATCTGGTCACTCACTAACCTGTATTGGTGAATCTCATGCCAGAAACTGTCTATCTGGTCACTCACTAACCTGTATTGGTGAATCTCATGCCAGAAACTGTCTATCTGGTCACTCACTAACCTGTATTGGTGAATCTCATGCCAGAAACTGTCTATCTGGTCACTCACTAACCTGTATTGGTGAATCTCATGCCAGAAACTGTCTATCTGGTCACTCACTAACCTGTATTGGTGAATCTCATGCCAGAAACTGTCTATCTGGTCACTCACTAACCTGTATTGGTGAATCTCATGCCAGAAACTGTCTATCTGGTCACTCACTAACCTGTATTAGTGAATCTCATGCCAGAAACTGTCTATCTGGTCACTCACTAACCTGTATTAGGTGGTATGAAATGAAGAAAATATCAATTCATTCAGTGTCCTCTTGCTCTTTATTCTAAACTAGGGAAATAAGCACACTGTAGATTATACCTTGCTAAACTGAATTTAGAACTGAATGTTCATATATTATGACACATTTGCATATAGAAAAGCACCAATTTTGAAGCTCTTTCTCCAATGTCTTTTAACTCTCTGAGTTGATGACTATTGTGTTTTCTTCCCAGAATGTATTGACACACACACTTGTAGTTGGGACTTGTACATGTCTTTGTTTCAAAATGCCTACTGACAATGATTGAGAAAGAAGTACTTTTCTGACAATATTAGTGTCTTTGGTGATTCTGCTGTCAAATCACTGTTTAAATCAGAACTGGTTATTGTGATTTGACTAGTCAGAATCATTTTTTCCGAAGTCATGGTAGAGTGTTGTGTTAGACTAAGAAGAGTCACAAGATAGGCTTTCATGAATCTGTTGTGCTAGTTTTCAGGAATACATGTTTGTGGGATTTAGCTGGGAATTCAAGAGATTACATTTCATACAATGAAGTGGACATGGGACTTGCTTCATGACATACGATGCAGGAGATTATAATGAAGAATATACTGGAAATAGTCTGTTATTACATTGTCCATGTAATTTGAAACATTGTTATGAGAGTTGGAGAGTTTATGAGGTGGGGAATCATATGAATCTGTGTTGAGTACGCTGAAATGAAAAGGTGATGTTACAAAAATAGAAATCACATACTCTGGCACAAATAATATTAATTTCTAGAATACATATCTATGGGACTGAAGCAATTTATGGCATTGGATTTATTTCCTTCCATCACGATTGTTCATCCTCTTTGAAAATTGACATGGCTATTTGAAAAAGCCATGTTTGTGTTGTCCCAGCCCAAGGTGCTGGTGCTGATGCCAAGAGAGGCTTACATGAAGGAGACATTTGTCATCACTAAAGCTGTCAGGCACCGTTTGAAACTTGTCATTTTTCATAGAGAGGGTTTTTTTCTGCAGAAAATATGTCTGAGTCTGGCTATTTTCTTAATCATGTCTTGGCTGTTTTAAGTACAGTGTCCCTTGTCATAATCCTCATGTGATTGTTAAAGTTTAAGAGGTCATGGTATTAAGGTGCTGCTACTCAGCATCTAAAAGACTATTAAGCACCCCTTTGTTTCTAACCATGGCAGGGGTAGGCAACATGTACAGGGATGGAAATATATGAAAGTCTGCCATGGCATTTTTGCACAGGGCGCTCTCAAAGATATTAAAATTTAGACTTTTAGTGTGCCAACAAGAAGAATACTTTTCATTTGTCTTCTAACTTGGATATAAGCAAATGTAATTTAGAAAGATTGCCACCATCCTTTTCATTGTCATTGATGGCCCTTTCAATTTCTGAATTCCCAGGTAAATTTTGTAAATGGTCCGTGGTCTAGTGGTAGAGAGTCCGCCCGGAGAGAGGAAAGTCGGGGGTATGATCCCTGGCCGCTTCATCCCAAGAGATGGTAAAAGATGGTACTTGTTGTTGCCCTGCTTTGTGATTGGCACAGGAGGCTAAAACAAGGACTGGTGGGCTCCAGACTCAGTATACTGTGTCTGAGTGGGATATACATGTTAAACTGAGGCATGGTATGTCAGTGGGCTAGAACTATAAAATTGGCATCAGTCCGGACTAGTACAAGCAGCCACACAAACACACACATGCATGCACATCACCATAATAGTGCAATAATCTTGGACACAATGTTAAACTCCATTTCACCTTACCTCATCTTGTGGTTGTCATTATCCGAGTGGTTGCCCAGTCTACTAGTGCATGAGTCATTATTGCTGGATTCCTGTAGTACACATCACATATGTGTTTGTTACAACATATGTACTGAGTGTGATCTTCAGGATGGGACATTGCCATTCTAATACAAGGAGTTTGAAACACTGATCCACCAAATACTACTAGTCCACTGTTTTTTTATGTGATATAACCAGATACATGAAGAATACATTATAATGTTTCACTTGTGCCTGATTTAGATTAAACAAAACAGAAATTGTTTTGTTCCCATAAAAGAGTGCCAGCAAAAGATCTAGGCCTATCTTGACTTGCTAATTACCAAAACGCATTAACTGAATGACATGGGACTGGTCTGCTTGTCAGGTGTTGTCGTTTTAAACTATTGACTACATATCCAGGTGAGCTACAGTGCCTTGGCATTGTTTGTTTGTTTAGTACAGTGTTGGAGCAAGGCTAGGCTCCCGTTGCCATCTTACTTCATGTTTTCTTTTCACTTTAGCCATTGTCTTACTGTCAATTGATCTTGAAAAGTGTTTCAGCAACTTTTCTGAACATTTGGTGTTGTTTTTTTCAGCTGGCTGAACAGTATGTACATGTGCAGGCAGAGATCGCCCTCCTCATCCAGAGAAAGTGAGTACATTGTTTTTATTTGTGGATTTTCATTCAACTTTTCACACAACAAAAACATTTCAACATCGTGGACACCTATCCGTCTACCACTTTCTTCATGAGTATGATAAGACACTGAAGACTTTGGGGGAACAAATTATTTATCTTTTGTATGTGAAAAAAAGATGGACTTCCCATGAGTCAAGACACATCTGCAATGTGTTATCAAGTAATTTGTGTATGGTCCGATACCTGTTCTTGTAAGAACACTGTGGTGTGTGTTTTAGGTAAATGTTCTTCAGTGTGTATTTTCATGGCTGCAAATTTACTAATTGCTGCACAGAATTCTCTCTGTCAACTTGTGGCTGGGAAAATCAGTCATGTTTTTAATTCTGTATGAAGATAAAGGGCATGGTGATTGCAACAGTAACCATATTGACTTGATAAAGGCCTTTTTTGGCAATGCCAGATTTTAGACTTGGTAAAACTTTTTAGAATCGTTTCACGATCTTTGAAAGTGTGCATATGACTGACAGCTGGAGGTTTTTCCTTTTAACACTTCCACATTGTGAGCCTGTAACCACATAAGAACCGGAGGTAGAACCAGCAAGTGTGAAAAAGGATTATTTAATAGAATTTTGCAAAGTGTTTGTTTTACTTTTGTGACATGATTAAGTATCTGACCTCTGCTGACATCTATCACTATAGATGGCCTAGCTCAGAGGGTTTTACTTCAAAAAGTTTAAGTTTGTCTTTTCCCACATTTTGGCCATCTCTGAACTTGGGGCACACATTACGTCAAAACAGTTTTCTGATTATTATTGTTTATTTTCATGACAATTTCTTGACAATTTCTTAGCCAATTTATAGGTCAAAATTGTTTCCTTGTTGACCTCTGCTTTATCCTTTTATAGCATCAAGCTTGGTATTCTTTAGGTTCATTTGGTTTTGTGAATAACGGGGGGGTGAAATAGAAGATAGCTGGAGATTTCCAAACACTCCTAATCCCTGACACAATATTTCATGGAAAAAATACGAAACAATACATTACTTGAGTACACAGTGCCTCAAAAGATAACGAGAATTATTCCACATTAATTAAGACTATATTAATAACAGAATAACAAGCCTAAGAAATCCTTTGAAGTTTTCCAAAACCAGCCTTTGATGTTAAATTTTCAAAATGGATTTCAAGGAAGAATTTGAGTTTAATAGAAGCTAAAATTATAGGTAGAGTTTAGACTACTAGTACATTGTTACAGGAATGTTTGAAAGTAAACATGATAAAAGTGTAATTTAATTGCAGACTTTCCTACTAAGTGAATAATCACAGCCTCTGATAAGGTAAACCCTTCCATGAGTATATATCTTGGTTTGGGCTTCTGATTTCAACTTGAACTTAATTGAGGCATAATCAGCCACCTCCAGCAGGGAATCCCTTAGCAACATGGCTTTGAAGTCTTCTTGAATGTTGGCTGATGTCAGGCTAACTTTACTGGTGATATGTGCTAGCTGCCAGTGCCTAATTAGATGTATGTGGTGGGGAGGCCTGTTTGTGATAGACACAACACTTTTAAGGTTCCTAAGTGTCTTCATATATCTTATGTTGCTGTAGATTGATAACAGTGCTCAAGGTGAACCGTTACTCGAGATGCCATGCAACACATCCTTCTGACAAGTTCAAGTTATGTTTTTGTACATGTGTTATTCAGTACCTGTATTGATTGCCAAGACAACGAGATGATGGAGGTTTTTGTTGACTGAATGTTATATGCATAACTATACACGGATTAAGTTGATAATTGTCGCCTTGACATTAATATGATTCTTTTACAATCACGACAAGATCAGTTTGTTTCTCTGTTTTACGCATGAGCCTTCCCTAAGACATGCAACCTTGTACCTGGAATTGTGTTCACATTTTGAAATCCTTAATGTTTTGATGTAAATAAGACGTGAAGTATTTTAATGGACAGCAATCTTAAAATTATGATCCTATGTGTTTATATATTAATATTTTTATTTCTGTGTAATTGATCATCTTTCAACACACCCCTTGACATGTAATATATGTCTGGTCTGACTTTCATGGTTAATATCAGAACTGCTTTTAGTAGACAGGAATCTCTGCATTTCACCCAAACAGACTATGCTATTTTCCAACCCTTTGAACAAAGAAAAGAGAATATAAGGTAGTGTTGTATCTGAGTTGAAAATATCATTAAGACATTGTAGCCCAAGGAGGTTAAATCGTTTGTTGTATCAATTTCTGTCTGTCTCAAGCAGGGTTATAGTACGTCTTTGTTCCATGAAATGTTGAGGAAGAGAATGTACTTTTATTATGAAAATGAATTAGAGAAGTGAAACAAATTAGGTGGGATAATTAGAGAAGAACTTTCAGGCTACCAGATAATATGTGGATTGCCTTTCCATTGTGAATTCTTTTAATGATTCAACATTAATTCACAAGGGACTGTGAATCACAAATGTAGAGTTGTGAGTGGGTTATTTCATGTATGTACTGTAGTCTTTATTCAAGTGTATTGTAGGCCGTAGGCCCATGATACAAACGGTAAAATGTACAGTGGAAGTTCGAGGATCACATTTATGTATTTTACAATGATTGTCTAAGATATATGGCTTTAACAATAAACTAAGAAAGACTTTGTTCGGTTGCTCGATGGACAGATGACATTCGGATGTTGAACTTTTGCCTTGTTGGGAATTCATGATATTTTCTTGGTATAAATTCTGCCCTCAGAATCTGGTTACATTTGCATTTTAGAATAAAATGGTACTCATCTTCAACATAATTGTATTAACATGCTTTGCAAACTCGTTCCACTCTAGGTTCCGTTTTGTGTCTACCTGATTCGATCCAAAGATGATGGGAACTACACCATTATCTACCCAGAGCATGTCTAAATTTCTCTTGTGGTAACATACTAATATATATTTCCAGGCCAAATGTTTGCTTACACAATGAATAGTTATATGATTTTGAGCTTTCTGAAAGAGTTGCATGCCAGTCTTGTTCATATGAAGATTTATATCTACATAGAAATTCATTTATAAACATGGGGATATTCGTAATACATTTGTGCTCGCACACAAGGCCAAAACCTGTAAGCTGAATAATACTTCTAATTTTTGAAGCCCAATTAATTTTACCATTTTTGAATGCCTGAAGTTGCATGTTATAATTTTTTTTGACATATCATGAGTCTGGCATTTTCAAAATATTACACCAGTATTTATAAGTATTTTATACACATAATATACAGCGGATAACGTCCACATTCACCTCTCACACCGTGATTTGAGGTTGAGTTTCCAACTCCTAAAAACTGTTTACAAGCAATCATATGTACGCTCTCAATTTCAACATAGTTGTGAGTGGGTTATTCCATGTATGTATTAAAGGGCTACTTGCTATACAGAGCTGCATCAAGGTCTTGGTTCGAACCATTCACATTGATCATGATGCCCGGTCTCTTATCATATCAGCATCATACCCATACTCTGGGGTTTCACCAGAAGCAGTAAGCACCATGACTTGTGTCAGTGTCGGGCTATCCCCCTACATCAATCTGACACACCCTGATGTTACTAGAGGCTGGTGAACGTGCTTAACCTCAACTCATTGAAAGACCTGATGGGTGATATTGTTTAATTCTGTTTACAACATTAGGGCAATGTTGAAAAATATGGATTGTTTGTTGTTTAACACCAAACTCAGCAGTATTATAGCTGTCCTGGCCAGACAGTCCAGTGATTGTCAACCAAAGTGACCACCTGATCCATTTAGTCACCCCTTACGGTAAGCATAGGTTACTGGGGACCTATATTTTAATTAAGACTCCCAACAGGGTTCAAAATTATGGATGATCCTCAAGGTCATAAGATCATTTTAGTAACGTTAGGACTAAGGAGGTCTATAGATGAAGATGGTATAACCTCAAGACCACACTTGAGGTATCTGCAGTACAAGAGAGTTGAAGAACAGATAGTTGTGTAGGAAGCATCGTCTAATCCTTCAACCGTAACATTGCCATGATGATTGCATTCGTTTTCTTGCACAGAATTGAAAGAAAACAGATGTGGGTCTGTAAATACGGAAATGGGTTCTTCCTTGTATGAAGGTGTAATGCAAGGCGTTGAAACAAGAAAGAAATCCAGCCATTAAATTGCATGTTGTGCACAACTATCTTCGAGTACAGGACGTTTCCATTGACAAAAAGTCAATGTTGAAGAGTGAGGGTTGGAAAAGCCATCAGAAGTTTGGGGCCTAACACAAGGACCTGTACGAGGGCACAGGGAGGAATAATGGAACTGTAGAAAACATGGCAGTTTGCAAATGGAATGACTTAATTACACTGTGTCTTGAATATTCATGGTGAGGTAAACTGGTTTGACACTAATTGGAATATGTTTAGAGATTGAAGTGGATCAGTCCGTTTTGCTTTTCATCTCAATGTATTGCCTCATTTTGCATCTTAAGCAGGAGCCTCTGTAACAGAGTTGCAGTATTTAAATTTTGAATTTTGAATCTCACTATGCATATCTTCTTTCTTCTTCATTCCTATGATGAAATGTGCTTGAACCGTGTTTCCAGCTTCTAAAACAAAAACATTCACCTGAACACACCCCAGCATCTCTAGGGTTCAATACATGCTCTCGTATATGGTAACCTGCCACACTTTGACCATGTACGTCTCTCTACCATCTCATTCTCGTCATTCAAACATGTTTCCACATACGATCGAAGAAGAAAGAAGATATGTATAGTGTGGGATAGGATAAGTATATAAATAATTTTTTTTTACTAAAATGTCCAATTTTTTTCATGAAACTAAAAAACAAAACATTATGAAAACTAAGAAGGAGGAAATCAATAAAGTTCCTTCATTCAGTGATCAAGGTAATTTGGGCAAGAATTTTAACTTAAGCTTCAGGTATATCCATAATCTAATATCACCATCAATAACCATCAGGATTTTGCCTCTTCCCCTCACTGATTT